TAATGATTCTTCTGCGCAACACTAATATTATAGCGATAACATATGAAGTAGATATCGATAGCACGATTACGAAAGTTGCTGTAACGTGCTGTTGCAACGGTCACCAAAGCGTCAACACGCTGGAAAAATAGCTTTCCATAAAAGATTGTAGTTGTAGGAGCTTTTCCGTGAGTTGATCATCCATCAATGTCAAGGATGTGTATGGTCGAAAAGGCATCGATTGAGCAACGATAAGGTCTATACTGTTAAAGCAACCATCGACCAGGTTAGCTGTTTTCTGCAATCACCTTGTTCGGTATCTTCTTTTCCACGCTTTCCTTCTCTTTCTATTGATCGTGACCGCGTTTGCAATCTGGCTAGCGTCTAAAAAACCCACCATAAGCTGATACTGTTAAAATATCTGTGTAGAATTGAATGTGATCTGTACGAAATGGTGGATTTGTAAAAAACAAGCAACATGGTCAAAAACCCAAGCAACAACTTCTTCTTTTCGCCTGTTGATTCCAATGTGTTGACGCTTTGGTGACCGTTGCAACAGCATGTTACAGCAACTTTCGTAATCGTGCTATCGATATCTACTTCATATGTTATCGCTATAATATTAGTGTTGCGCAGAAGAATCATGTATACGCGAAAGCGGAATCTGAAATTAGTAAAATTTTAAGGTGAGACGAATTTTTCTGAAAAGCACCCTTGATGGGAGATTCAAGCTACTTGTGCGTGGTGGTAAGGTCTGGATTCTGTTGGATCTTTTTGGCGTTTTTGAACTTTATTGATAGGGCACTTTTTGCCGCGAAAGCGCCCCACATCGTCCTTTGGACTCTCCTCTAACCTCTCCGCTACCCGTCTTTTTTCATGAAATATCTGGTAAAATTCAATTGTATAGTGAACAGTTGGTAAAAATTGGAAGTTTTGGCCTTTCTCGACATTCCAGTCATATTTTCTTTCTTGTATTTGGATCTAACTTGATAGAGAGTTAAAGGCGTAAAGAAGCACTTCTGAATTCATTACATCTATCTTTCCCTCTTCATTATTAGTGCCTGGAATCATTTCCGTTATTTTCAATATCGTGATTGTGTTTGTTGTGTTGTTGGTTGCTAGACACTTTACTTCGCTTTCTTCTGCTTACTGGATTGAATTAATACTTTGATTGCTTGAAACCTTTCAAATACTGAGGGGTCTTGTTTGAGGGTCTTGTTTCAAGATATTAGCCTAATTCTGTTGATGAGTTCAGGTCGATCGTTTTTTTTGCACCGTTGTGCATATCTTCGTTTCATAATCTTCGTTTCACTTGTGATTCCCGTGACCTGTCGCGTGAATCGCGCAAATTGCAAAAATCAGCGAAACCTGCGACGGTCGCGAACTCTGACACCAGACCAACTCTTCTCTGTCTTCATAGGACGTAGAGTTTTGATTAAGCTTGTGGTCCATGAGTTGCTCTTTGAAAACCATTGTTGTTTCCACATCTGAATCTGCTTTTTTTTCGCCTAAAATTATATCATGAGAGTAGATATGTGGTCCCATCATTAATCTTTGTTCAGTTATTCGGTTTAGCCTTTGTTAGATTCGACAACTGAGACGAAAGGAAGTAGTAGTACATCACTGATGAAAACAGCATTGCTTTGCATGCTCTGCTCTCCTTGAGATCAGCTGTGCTGTACGCAGAAAGTAGTATTTTGACAGATTTTCAATAAAAGTACGATATATTTTGTCATTGAGCATTCATTTGAGTCATTACTGCTAGAGCAGCACATTTGATGGGTTTCACGTTTTGATGATAGTTGTAGACTGTAGTAACGGTTTTCCTGTTTTTAAAGTTAATGTGTCTTTCTCAACGCAGATCACTACATAAGGCACACCTACTTTCTTTGCGTTTTTAGTCTTACAAAGTTCCACTCAATCACTAGACACATTCTCATTATCATTAGTCAGTTGTGGACCGGATCGTCTCGCTGCAGATGACCAGAGAACACTTCATTATGCCCATTTTCTCGCTTCTTTCTCTCTTTTCTCGCCTTCGTTATGGGAATATTGATGTGCGATTTTCGGGCGCTTTCTTTTGTTGTGATAGGGAAAGGTCCCACTGTCGGAAGGTAGTAATGTGATGTGCGCGCTTCGTCTTGCTCTTCATTGTGAGTACTAATGTGTGCTGCTCAAAGATGGTGGTTAGGCTGCTTTCATAGTCTGCGGTCCGTGCCGTCCGCGCCGTCCGCGCCGCCCGCGCGGACGGCTCGGACAGGGTGAAAAACGTCAACACGCGCTCCGGCGCACAATGCGCACTTGGCGCGCAGTCGGCGCCTCCCTCGATCGATAATGCTAATTTCGAAACATTTTTTCTGTATTTTGACGTTTTGTGCGCCGTTTTGCTTTTTCTTGCGGTTGCTTAGCCCAAAACTTTTCCTTTTTTGTATGGATTACTGCTTTTGCTCACTAATGAACCCACTTGGTGCTTATTGCCACTTTCAAACACAGTGTATGAACCTAATCATTCCAGAACAGTTGAAAAGCAGTGATTCACATGAAAAAGAAAATATAGTTCTCGCCAAAAAAAAAACACAAGCAAAAGCCGGTCGATCTTGCCATCGCTACATCTCCTTTCCCAAGTGTTATCAAGGATTTCATCAGCAACTTGTGGTTATCTTATTTTTGTGTTTTTCCTGGTGCTCACCCTTGGTGCCGGTTGCTTCACGTATTTTTTCGCGGGAAGGGATACCTGTTTCTTTTTTAGTGTAAGTGACAAGTCTACTGCTTTTCAACTGTCCTAGAATGGTTAGTTTCATACACTCATACATTGTGTTTAAAGTAGCAATAAACACCAAGTGGGTTCATTAGTGAGCAAAAGCAGTAATCCATACAAAAAAGGAAAAGTTTTGGGCTAAGTAACCGCAAGAAAAAGCAAAACGGCGCACAAAACGTCAAAATACAGAAAAAATGTTTCGAAATCAGCATTATCGATCGAGGGAGGCGCCGACTGCGCGCCAAGTGCGCATTATGCGCCGGAGCGCGTGTTGACGTTTTTCACCCTGTCCGAGCCGTCCGCGCGGGCGGCGCGGACGGCGCGGACGGCACGGACCGCAGACTATGAAAGCAGCCTTAACGGTGAAGTGAGTGGGCATGAGAAGTACATGCGCCACTATGAGCCATACTCACGCGGCCAGCAACGGAGATGTCGCGTTTTTGCGTGAAGGGTAGAGCAAATTCAGAGAACAGTAAGAGGCCTAAAGCCATAACCGTGAAGCCTTTTGCTTCAAAATCGCTCCGCCACGCCTATAAAGCAAAGCGTGATGTTTGTTGACATGATGTCGACTATTGAGGTTAACTCCTTTAAGCGACCTCTTTCCAGGGTCACTCGTCGCACATTCGCACTTTTCCGCGAGGATGTAGCTATCCTCACTGTTTAGGAGGCTCTCGCAATTCGCCCCCCCGCTTCGACCACTACTCCTCACCCGCTCCGCTATTCCCAGCGAAACGCCAGCACGAGTACGGTCTCACCCACAGGCCTGAGTGTGAACGCCGGCCTGCGGTAAAGAGTTTAACTGATGTAGGGTAAACAATCCTCTGACAAGCCGTCGATGGAATCCTCGAACCGCGTATTAAGCTGCCTCTCCTTCAATTAATCAGCAAATGGCAAACCCCATATCGTCCGAATATTATGAACAGGTCGGTTGACCCTGGGCCTTTTTGTGGTTTGTCGGTAGTTTTTCGTGCGTCAAAAATTAACCGCACCAATTGAATAGATTCCGCATTTGCCGTAAGTCTGACGAGGTTTTGGGCCACTTGCATCATTGCATCACCTTTTCTATATAAACCCCTCGGAACTTATCGTCGTCGCTGCCGTTAAATTCATCATTCCGCACATTTATGGCCTTTGTGATTTTGTGTGGTAACGACGTAGACGCATATTTATTTGAAATTAAGCGCCTTTAATGTACCGCAAACATGGCCGATTGGCAAGTTGTTCGCTCTCGCAAATGTCGCATATTGTGCTAAGCAGAAGAACTTGAAGGTACATGCAGCGAACACCTTGTGATTATTGCGTGAAAATGCAAGAACAGGTGTGAAATAGTCTCCAGTGAAGAAAAAATTACTGAAACGCTGAAGACAACGAACTTTTCTCGGCGGTGGTGGTCTTTTTAAACGGCGTGAATCGGCATCGAAGCCGGGAAGTATTCTGGAGTCGAGAGAGCATATGTCCAGGTGAGGCGCCCACATCAATGCATTCGTAACTATGGGGGGAGATAAAAGTTCACCCGCGGCGCGGCCGCGAGCGCGTGCTGGTGACGTCAAAATGACGCAGCTGCGGCAGGCTTAAAGGAAGGGCAGGCAGTGGCCAGCGCCGCTGCCACTTCGCTCAAACAGTGTTGGGTTTCTGGCACTACACCAACTTGTTCAGTTCGCTGCTGCGAGCGAAATTTTGTGTTATGTACAGATACCATCCTCGCAATGGAAATTGGAATCTTCAATGTGGAAAAGTCGAGGCTTTCATCTGCAAATCCTTAGGAGTACACAGTCAAGTTGAAGTTGGTCAAACTAAATCCATTCTCAGAGTTGGACTCCCACTTAGTTCTACTTATTGCTCACTTAATTAGGAGTATCATATTTCCTCGTAGCCACTCAATGTATCGAAGTAGCGGTGGCAGAGCCAGCCCTTGCTCGCTCCTTTAACCCCGCTGTGACGTCAAAACACGCGAACGCGTCCGCGCCGCCGGTGAGCTTTTCCATGGAGCCTGTAACATGGGCGTGCATTGCGCGTCAACTTTGCATTACAAGTATGGGGTCAGGCCACTCGTCACGAGAGTGACACTGCTTCTTGCGTTTGCAGGTTTAGTCACCTCATTCACAGAAATGTTTGTTCCAGTGAACTAATTGTGGAAGGTGCTGCGTTTAAGTAAAATCTCGGAGATCGAAGTCGCTCTTGAACCTCCTGATTACGAAAATGGACGTCGATTTTATGCAGTTGCTTTTTTTATTTACAGTTCAACGCGGTATCACAACGGGTTATGACCAGCATAGTGTTACCGGACTGCCGACCTGACTTCCGAGCAAAAATCATCGCCAAATGGATTGACATTGCTAGAGTGAGTATATGTTGCAGCTTCTATAAAACCTTCGCTCCTAATAATTTGGTTCTGAACTCAACTTAAGTGATTTCAACTTGGTTTCCCTTGGTAGATAGATTTGATACATATGTTACTTGCTTCGTCATCACTTTTTTGAAATCCATTTTCAAGGAGCTGCGTGCGTTGAAAAACTTTTCGTCCTTGAAAGCCGTACTGTCAAGTCTTCAGTCAGAACCAGTGCATCGCTTGAAATCAGCTTGGGCTCTTGTGCCGAGGTTTGTTTTGTTTACTATCGTTGGTTTCCTCTTTTTTGTTTGGCAAAATGCTTGCTAGTTTGTCCACAAATTAGGACGTAGTTGTAAAACAGTGCTGTAGACTGTTTCTCTTCAGTCGATCCATGGCACAATTTCGGGATCTGTCATCCATCTATGATATGGACGAAGAAGGTGATGAAAGAAACGCTCGTCGTATTCTCGAGCAGGTAAGGCTTGAGATCGGGCACAATTAAGTTGATTTCAAGAGGTTTTCGACTTCATAAATCCTCAATTCTCTTGGTTTACTTCATCGTTCACTTGGGAATAAGGTTTGATCCGTTTCACTGATGTAGCTTTTCGCTGCGCTTCATATAGGTTCAAAAGTGCTCCGGTTTAAATTTTTGCGCTTCATGTTCTCATTCTTCGTGCTGACGTGCTGTCCCTCAACTTTAGCACAAGTTGAGTTTTGTCTGCGGTTTCGCGGCCAAAAAAAAAAAAAAAAAAAAAAAAATTTTTGAAATTTTATCATTTTTTGGCGCTATATTAGCTTTTCAATTACTTTTTATCAGCTCTCTAGAACTAGCTGCTGTAGTGGTTTTTGCTCTTCACACAACCGAGAAGGCGTTCATTTGTTTTAGCGTTTCTACTCCTTTCCATTTGTTTCTTCTTCTGTTCGTTGCTTTGGGTTGGTACTGAATTTACTTTTCGTCATTTTTTACCCGTCCTTTTTCGTGAGCCTGGTCTTTTCCCTGTCCTCTTCTCTCCACTGATCCTCATGCGCTTGCTTAATCATTCATATCATACTCCTTTAGCTAGAAATTGCATTTGCAAATCTTCCACCTCCACACTTCCTATTCACACACGCACCTTATCATCATATCCAGGCTCAATTAGAGGCTTATATCTATCTCGCAGTGAAGCTCACAACAGTCTCTGTCGTAAAATCGTTTCCCGTTGTATTTGAAGGAATCTTCCACGGAAAAAGCTCCGCCTCCATTACCACAGAAAAACGATACCTTAGGCCCCTAGCCTCATGAGCATAGCAAAAAGAACGGAACATAAGCGTTAGTTTCGATAATACTAATCCTACACACAAGACAAAATGATCACTCTTTCATGTCAAGAAGACTCCTTAAGTTATCGTTTTCTGTGGTAATGCGGGCGGAGCTTCTTCCGTGGAAGATTCGTTTGACCATTCTTCTCAGAAAACGAAGGCTGGTTCTGGTAAATGAATCGGTTCTCCGAGTGGGCTTTAGTCTCTTCTGTGCCTTATACTTCTCATCGTCCGCTTTCTGTTAACTGTCGTCTTAGTCCCGTTTTATTCCATATTCAGGAACCGGTCACTTGCCCAAAAAAAAGGGAAACAAAGAAGCCCCTCACACTAAGACGACCACAGTTGGCTTAGAATGACTCGTCGAAACGCACAGAGCGACGATGATCTAGCAGCCAATCCAGCGAACCGTCCTCCATACTTCCGGGCACGTCCGTTTCTTACTGATCTGCACTATGAATTGATCAGGGTACTCAGGATTTTACAGAAGGTCAGTCCTTATTTCTAGGTAGTGGTGATTTTTCATTCAGGAGCATTGTTGGTAAATTTGTGCACGAACAAGCTCGGTAGTACCTTAAACCTTCATAGCTCAGTGCTGTACTGCCTGTGCTGCTACGCACTTAATCTGAAAGTGCAACTCAGAAAAGGTGTGATAACCTCTATTATTAACGTAGCCTCTGCTGCTGCCCCCCCCTGTTTTCTACCCCGCTCCACAACAATGCAATCGCGCTAATACGCATGATTCAATCTAGGATGCTACAATAGTAGAATAATCACTTCGCGGTAGTAACCAGCTCTCCCCCCTCCGCTGACTGGTCTAGTGACATTTACTTCTACATCTCACTCAGTTATAAATATAAGTGATTTTTATAAGGTGACGACCGCCGAAAGCATCAACAGTGTCATAAAAAAATTAGTTAATGTTATTGATTAACTTTATTTAGACGACACACATAAGCAGTCCGTAGCAAACAACTACAACATCTCCCCTGTTGACCACTCACTAGCTCCTAGTCAGTTATCTCACACACAATTCAGTTTACTGAGCCAGTGCGCTTCAAAAGCCCACTAACACGCGGCAAGTTACCGATGAGCCATATTAAATTCTGGACGTAGAAGTATATAGTCACCCCTGACGACAGCGTGAAGCTATAGAGCCTCACGTGACTGGATTTATAAGGACAATGAAAGGAGCAAAGTAGGATTGGTGGCAAAATAGCGTCTTTGTTGAAAGGAATTTGTAATGTTATAAATGTTGTGCTGAAGCTTATCCCACTGGCTTTATCCGCTCAAACAGTGTGTTTGTGAAAAGAAAGGCTTTTCTGTTTACGTCTCCCTCAAAGAGCCAGGCGCAAATCGTTTTTCGAGCGCTTAAAGTAACCTTCATAGAGAGGATTTCAAGAGGTTTAGAAGAAAGAACCGGTTCGATTTGTTTGACTGTGACTGACAGTGGCTATTAGTGATGTTAGTGTCCCATTCAGGGAAAAGATAGTCTTGTAAATACAGGGATGGTGAGTAGTGGAAGTGTTGACTTAGAAAGGAAACAATTGTTTATAGCTTTTTACTGCCTTACCTGTGAATACTGAAAATCTTTCGATTTTTAGATGAGTCTTTCGTTCAGGTTACTCCTGTAAATGATATTGCATTTGAAGCTCGTTTTGTGAGGAAATCAATGACAGTTCTTTCAATGAACTCATTCGTTCGTAAATTTTACAAGTGATTCAAGTGTGTTGCAAGAACAGATTCAGAATATCCGTTCCACCCCAAATCTGTTTTTGTTCCATTACAGAAGGATTGATCAATTTCGAAAAACGACGCAAGGAGTTTGAAGTGCTGGCGAAGTTAAGACTGTTCCAATCGGCCGCCCGCGCCTATCACATTCCTATGGATCGAGTCTTCTGTGCCTGGTTCCACTTCTTGCCGTGTTTATCGGAAAAGGAATGGTGTGTTTTTCTACACATTCTTTTTATCGGACAATAATGCGATTTCTGCGTTGGGATGCTATGAACACTCACTTATGAAGCGAAGTGTGGTTTTTCATTTCATTCCAGAATGGTGGGAAGGGCGGTGTAGTTATCCTCTTCTCCTTATATCTTATCTGTTCTGTGCCAAAATATGATGGGAATATGAGGATTCTCGAAGGGTAAATCATAGTTCTGAGCGTAACATTACTTGTCGCAACTGTCGCCCTAGGACATCTAGTAATATTCAGTCAAAGCTAATTTTGGCCTTAAACAATGCTACGTTGTCTCCAAAGTGTGCCGTTTTCCAATGCAATAGCGTAACGTGGAGTAGTCAGGCTCCATACCTTCCAGAAATGAGCCGGTCTTGAAAATATGGAGGGCTTGGTTAGTCGATCAACTTTTAAGCGGCGAAGGCTTTTCGTTCCACTTCCAACGTCTTATGATTGGGAGGAAGGTTAGTGCGAAGCTAACGCAAATGTATTTCAAATGATGTCATGCGTTACTTGGTTTAAGAGCGCTCGAATCTTCACAGGCTTTCAAGGGGTGTAGCGAATGCAAGGGGTGCCTGTGGTTGGTCGATTGCTTGCTAACCATTCAAAGGCACTGCTTGCACACGTTGTTCATGTCCAATCAGAGTTGACGGCGCATATGATTGGTGATATCGCTTCACCATTAATTTGTTTTAGAGGTGAACCTAACTTTCAGTTTCAATCGATCGTTGGAAGTTGAGCAGCCAACAGTGATATCAACACCTGACATGAATTCACGTCACAACACCAGTTTATCCAACGGAAATTCGGGTGTTTTACCTAAAAGGTGTGCTTCTCGATGTCATTTTCACCAACAGTTACTGACTAGAAAATGGCTGCAAATGTAATTTGATAGTAATCAATGACGATTTTGTTCAGCAACACTTTGGCTCGTCTTTTCAACTCATCCCGTTCTGGAGAGGATAGTGCGACTAATGTGTCGCAGTCGCACTCCCATTCCCATTCTCAGTCCAGTTTCACCGATCCTGCACTGGAACCTGCTGTTGGATCACCAGTCGGTGTTCGAGCCTCACATGAAGGTGGCACCAACTACGAGGAGTGGATCGATGGTCGAGTAGACGGTGGACCTCCTGGACCGGTTAGAAGAGCCTTTTTGTCCTTATCATTGTTTATTATTTTTACTTTTAACAAATTAATGAAACCTAAGACTTCTAAGAAATAATAGGGCTTGCAATCTGGGGCTCAAGTAAGGCTTTGTTAGTTGCATATGATCCATCAGTGGAAGAAAAGCAAAAGAAACTGGAAAGCCTTACAGAAGACGTCTCTCTGCAGTTGTTTCAAGACGGTGTACGAGTATCATTAGAAGAAGTGAGCGCCTGTACGGGAGATTTCAACAAGAAAAAGTAGAAGCAGGAGTGGGTCAGCAGAGACGAAAGCGCCAGCGTGGTGGCGTTTTCAGTGCGGACATGGGTGGAGCGGCCATTGCGAACACAAAGTATCTGTAGTATACCTTGGATCTGTTCAAGGCGAGCTTACGATGATAAGATAGCTTAATAGAAATCATGTTAGAGGTGGTCTGATGTAGGAATGACGAAGAAAAACAAGTGCTACTGTCTAATCCGAGAAACGGGACCTTTTTTACACGCTGATTTGTCATTAGGTGTATCTCATCGGTGCTGACCTCATTAATGCGAAGGATCTCTGCTAGAGCGGCTAGAGTCGGACGGCGAGGGGTTGGGCGGACAGCGGCGCGAGCGACGCGGCTGTTACCCTGTTAGGCTGCAGGGGCTTATCTCTCGCTGCGAAACCGGCATCGTCCTGCACCCTTGTGGGGCGCTCCGGCTTTCCACTATGTTTACTACTTTTGCGGCCTTATCGCGCCTTTGGCACGTTGACGACAGCGCAAGGCGCAAGTGCTTCACACCTTGAGCACCGTGTGGGACCGTGTGCAGCGCATGCGCTGCACACACAAAATATTTATTTTTTCGCGCATGCGCTACTTCTTTTCTAATTTTTTGCATCTATTCTATAGACACACCATAATATGACTAGACACGGCGAGGTTCATCGAATGGTTGAATATGCTCCACTTTAGCAAGAGTTCTCCAAGTTCTACGAATTTTCGGTTCAGACCCACTTAATGAGCCTTTACGTGGCTAGAAGCGCTAGGTACGCAAGTGTAGAGGTCGCGTCACTTCCCTACTTCGAAAAGCGTTACTTAGACGCTAGGCGCTAAGAACTTTGACACGCTCCACCTGTTGCGACACGCTCCGCCCACCGCTCGATATCTTGTCTGCGTCGCAATGTTGATCTGCTATGCTCTCTCTACTCGTACTTCTCTAGCGCTCTCCGCGCTCACATTATCTCTCATCTCCCTGCCGGCCTTTTGAACTTCTCCGCAGCGTAGAGCAAAAGGCTCGTATTTCCTGTGTATTTCACGATTTTTTTTCTTTTTTCTCCACTGGCGGTCCACTTCCTACCCCTACTTTCACATTTGAGTGGAATTACCTCATAATTCAATCCTGAATCTTGCCTTTTGGGGTTTGTGTGAGTTTGAACTCAGTTGAAAAGTTCACGATTTGGAAATTGAAAAGTTCACGATTTGGAAAACCTTTGTTAGATCCGATCCATTCCATGGACCACAATGTTTATAGTTATATCAATATCCGATCCATAGAATAGAAAC